AAATTTTAATTCAAAAATTGAAGAATAAAGAAAATTGTATTTATAAAAAATAATAATTTTTTTGAAATATTACCAGATTTTTTAAGTCACTTGAATGTCTGTCGATCTCTTTGAACTCATATAGTTCAATCTTTATAAGAAAAAGTTGTATTGCAAATATAAAACATAATAAATTGTTACAATGCGTATTTTAAGTTAAACATGATTAAATATTTTTAAAAAATTCATTCGATAATTTAGACTTTTTATAAACGATTTTACTAAACATTTGTCATAATTTTGAAAGATATGTATATTTACAATGCAACATGTTTTTTCTTAATAATTTAATTTAAAATGCGAAAAAGATTGGATCACAAACGATACATTTATGTTTTGACCGCATTATTTAAGGTTAATTTAAATTTTATTTGCAAGTATGAATGTCTATACTTTTAACGCAAGTTTTGCATTCAACGTAGCAACACCAATGAAATTTGCACTCGCATCTTTCTCTAATGGTTGATTTTTGTGTGTTATAACCTCTACCACAGCAGAGAAGATTGCATCCATCCATGCCGGATGATGTCCTGTTGCAAATTCTTCCATGTGTACCTAACAAACGATATTCAGTTTTTAAAAGTTTAAAACAGTTTTTCAATTTAAAAATTATAAATGCTTCATATAATGTTTATTTAACTTATATGAAAGTTCATAAAGAATGAATCAAGTAATAATTATGATTAATCAAGTAAAATTAGAAACGTTTCTTTAAATTTATAGAAGAATTATGATTTCAAAATATTAAAAAGTTTGTTATTTTTCGTTATCCCCCTTTTTTTCTTTTGTGCACATCGTGCTTGATGAAAAATTGGTACCTAATGATCCAAGCGTTTCATTGGGAAGACAATAATTTGGAGAATCATCCAAATAAACCAAATCATTTGCTGTTGGCAACGAAAATCTTGGATCTCGCATGGATAGACGACCACGTCTATTTACTCTGACCTCTGTTGCCCCATCATATTTATCTAAGAGAAAATCTCCTGTAAAGATGAAGTATAATTACATATTTGAAATATAATTACATAATTTTGATACACTCTATAAAATTTAACATAAATTTTGAGAAATATAAATAAAACATTGCAAAAAATACATATAGTATTTATTCAGCTATACAAACTATAATCCTGAATATGCAATATTTTATTTATTGATATTGACTTCATTTTAATTAGAAGTAGTTACTTGTATTTATAAAAATTGACTACACATTTTATTACTTGTAAATAGGAAAACATTCGACAAATTCGAATATAATTTGTATTTTGTTGGTTACAAGTATTTTTTTATAATAACTGACTGACAAAAGAACAGTAATTTATACATAATATCCGATAAAACAGGTAAGAGATTCTTACCTGCAATGAATGTATTTACAATAGATTTCAAAACAACATACATTTTATTTTTATGAAAAAGGAACAAAAATAGAGATAAAAATTTACATTTCGTTACTGTTGTTTGTATTTAAGTGCTAAAACGTAAGTAATGTAATACTAAACATTCGATTAGTGAAACATTAATTTGCAATTTTATGTAAATTTTTTACATCAAGCGACGCAAACTTGAAAATTAGGCATTATTTAAAAAAGAGACATACCAATTTCTCGAAAGGATGCCAGTTGCTGCCAGCAAGTAATTAAGCTACAACTTCCGGAAACTCCGTGGCACTTGCACGTCACTTTGGACCGTTTAATAACAGCCTTTAGAAAAAGTTATTAATTTAATAATTAAACAATTAATTCAATACTTAATAATATAATGACTATTTTCAACATTTTTTTCTTTCTCTTTTATTATGCAATTTATTTGCAATTATTTTTCTTCTTGCTTATGCAATAAAAATTAGAAAAGAAGTTTAGTTTACCCTGCGACCGGCTTCATTATTATGAAGGTTCATCAAACTTCTGCCTTGTTCTCTACTACCTCTCTTAAAGCTGCGTTCGCGTTCTTTTACATCGACGAATGCCTGTGTAAATCTAAAAGGTGAAAGGATATGCTTAAATTTAACTTAAACTTAATTTAGTGTATGACAATTGTTTTACAAAATTTTTAGATTTCAGTAGAGGATGTAAAAATAATAAATCATTTTGTTTCGTACAGTGATTAGTATAATTATTATTTCGTAATATCTTATTAACATACATATATGCAACGTATTCTATGGTAATTATACACTTAATATTATAAATAGTATCAATAGAAACAAAGTAAAATATCTTTGGAAATACTGTTTTTCTTTTTTAACAAAAGGAATGTATTATTTATTAAAATCATCACTCATTATAGATATATGTGTATATGTGCGATAGGTAGTTGAATTTGCTTGATGTCTACAACGTAGTATTATAAAAAATAAATGTTAATATGCAAAACAATGTCGATGATTTTGGAATTTTTTGTATCATTAAGATTACCTTGTGGGGAGTTTTTTTTTTATCACCTTCTTACTTTTAATAGCAGCGAAAATAATTTAGATGTTCAATGAATATTTGTACTTTTTTAATTAATACTGAGAATGTTAGGTTGAAAGATTATGATTGTATTACGAAATTGGTCTTAGAAAAAGAAAGGTTTAAGTTTGTATCCTCATTTGTTAGAGTTTACCTTAAATATACACCTAACTAGAAATTTGTAAAACCAATAAAACAAAATCGTGATACCCACTTATAACCGTATTCAAGGTTGTCTCCACAGCCACCCCAAATCCAGTCTCGTTTCAGATCTCTGGGTCTATTGCTTCTTGAGCAGCCACACGAAGATAATTGTCCATCTCTACAGGATCGGCTAATTGAGTACACCACTCCTGCAGCCGTGATTGCATGGACGAATGCAGTTTCTCGACTTGCTACGAAAAAAATAATTATTTATTCGTGTTGTTTACAACTATACAGTTACTTCCTGTAAAATTAGAAATGATCATTTATACAATAACAACTTATAATACAAATGCGTACAATAAAATGTTCGAATGTTAATCGCAGTTTTGTTGAATGAAAAAACTATATAACTGCACCGTTATCGAATAATATTTTTATGTTTCAAATATTTCAAAATAAACTGAACCTAAAAATGTGGAATTATTTGATTCTTAAGATTAGTGATAGACACAGATAAAAATTGTAAATCGTCGAATTGTATATGTTTAGATTTTATCAAATTTGTTTGAATTAATTGCACAAAGATACGATGTAAACGATAAATGTAAATATTTTTGCACGTCAAAATAGTCTCAGTAGTACTGATTTTCTGGAAATATGTAATCTTACAAGATATTTCTTATAATTTATGTACAATATACACAATTTAAAGTAAAAATTAGTAAAAATTGCTAAAAAAAAAAACTATCCTGTTATATAAAATCATCTATATTATCAATAGTAAAAAATTACTTAGTATTTCTTTCTTATAATAATTTAAAATTTCTTTTTTGTGGAAACTATCTTCTGTTCATAAAAATCAGTGCTCCGTCTCGCGACTTTTTTTCTTTTGATCCTACCAAAAACAAATGTTGCACACTCTATTAATTTTTGAAAATAATATACCTATTCTGAGCATAGATCCAAATACAGACTCATCAGCGACAGTGGAACAATTCCATCTTCGATCGCGGAATTGGTGTTGACACTCGATAATTCCAAATTTTGCACCTTTTGCCACACTGGGCATGTGATCAACAGACAGCTGGCACAGTTTTCCTTGGCCCTGTGAAAGGCCTTTCAATCCGTGACAAATACTTGAGGCAGCTATATCGTACGTTTCTATCATTTTGGCGGTTTCAAGTTGCGGAAAGTGTTGTACACCAACGTTTCTAAAAATATACAATGGCATTAGATAAACCTAAGTTTCAATAACGTATAAAACAGTTTTTTTTTTTTTGTACATTTTAGTATAATTAACTGCAAAATCAGATATGCCTTGTTAATACATTTTATAAAGACGTAGAATTTCGAAAGAATTTTAAAACTAGAAGAGAAATGTATCTATTTAAAAAATATAACTACAGAAAGGTAATAATTGTGCTAAATTCTGTTTTGTAGTCTTTCCTTCTTTATTAAATCAAGGAATTTCTATCAAGTGCAACAAAAGTTTTAGATTTGATCGAAATCTGTTAATTTGTTCAACTTGTTTTATTAGATTTCTTTCAAGTACATTATATTCAGTCTTTATGAAATTCCTTAATAGATAACAATTTTTCGAAATTTTTACCAATTGCTATTTTCTATAAGTTTAAAATAAGAAACATTAATGACAAGTTCTTAAAGAAATTAAATATCACCTATACACAATATTTACAGTGATATCACGAGTTGATAAAAAACTAAGCCGTTTGTGATTAAAAATAAGGTTTCGTGCTAAATTTGAACAATTGATTTTTTCTTTCAACAAATTGTATTAAATACTTTCCTACAGTTAGCTGCAGCTTAAGAATAAACTTTGTCAATGCAACTTGTCTGTGACTATAAATGTCTACTATTAAAGGAAAGGAAAAATCTTCGAGCGTCTAAGACGTTTTTGATCCTATACGAAAAAGTTTCTTTTGACTACCGTGATTGACAATTGAATTAGCTCTTGAACCCCTTTCAAGTTTTCGAGTGTTCTGGATTTTAGCGAAACGAGGGTTTCATGAGCCTAAACAAATTACATAATTTTCTATATATTTTGATACCCCAAAATTGTATATTTTTATGAAATTTTCATCCTCTGTATATTTAAGATTTAAAAAAATTACTGTACTATATTACGTTATAATATGTTTCAACGATGATTTCACAGTTTTACAGTACCAATTAAAATCTGGCTTTTCTGCAGTAATTATAAGTTTGAAATTTACCGGACGGTAACTTTCACGCAAAAGCCTGTTTGCTTCCTTCCAAACGCATCTCTGCTCTCCTTTGTTAAATACACGTTGCCCCCTTTTTCCAAAAGGCACGCATTTGTGCAAATTTGTTACGCCGATTATATAAATTCAGAACAAAAACCCGTGGGCAAAGAATGGTCCCCCACGCCGTTTTTTTAATAGCAAATTTGTAAGTCAACCTAGCGAGATGATGGAACGATGCAGTCACAGACAGAAATCAGGGGGTCTCTAAGAGAGTTACCGATCTGAAATTCGTAACGGCTGCTCATAAAGGCCTCACCGACAATGCGGGTATACGTATTTGACTGGTCTAATATTGCCAATGGAGCACACAAAATGCATGTGCTCTAGTGACTTCTACGTAGATAATTGATGGACACAATGCGTGGGAAACAATAGTTTCATTGTATGTCTCTGTGTGCAATATTTCAGAGCGTAAAGCTAATGGAAGTTGGTTAAATTAAATTTACGAATTTATACCATCGCTTTGTAAAAACTATATTTCACGATTAAGAAACTTTTTACGATCGATAAAATAAGATTTGCGGTTTTAGTGATTACAACGATATTAAATATGTTGAGTAATAATTCACGAGACCTTGTTTACATATTGCGACGTTAGCATTGTGCAAATTAAATGTAATCAGTAGACTGCGGATTTTTATGCAAATTCATATTTTTGAGAATATAGTAAAAAAAGTAAAACTTGGGTAGAAAATTATTTCATCTTCCAGGTACTATAGAAAGCACTGTAATTTTGCACCTTCAAATTTCCTATAAATGCATCAAAATCCGCAGTCTAGTAATCAGTACACATAATACGATTTCCGAGTCAATACAGGAGACACGGTTTCCGATGTTAAGTAAGATACATTATTAAACATCAAATGTTTCCACGTTGTTTATTGCAATTTCTAGTCCTCTGATCTATTTTACCATGAGTGAAAGTTGCCCGTGATAGAATGCAATATAACATACGTGCTCTAAGGAAAAAGGAACACACAGATAGAAAGTAATATGAAATTTTTATTGAAATTCGGTGCACATGTAAATACAGCGAACATGAAATCATTTAACATAAGGAGAAATCAAAGTAAAAAAAAAAACCTGATACTTGTATTACAAAAAAATAAAGCAGTGTAATCATGTAGTTTTATTTATTTTTATTGTGACACAACTATTGTTATTTGCAATATTTGTTGTTTTAATGAAAAATCATTAAAGAGAGTCACTTCTGTACAAAGATATTCTAAATTCTTTAACTGGTTTGGTGAATATTATAATGACTATAAAAATCTCTCAAAGTAATTTAATAAGTAGTTATTAGAATTTGAATTGAATTAACGAGTTAAAAATGGATTTGGAAAACAACACAAGATATAAAAGCTGAAAAAAATCTCAATTCTGTAGGTATAAAATTACTTTCACAAAAAAAAAAAAACATGGTGCGCACACACAAACGTTCGATCAGTGATAATAGTAACGTATAATAATAACAGTAATTATCACTGATCGAACGTTTGTGTGTGCGAACCAGGTTTTTTTTTTTCAAGAAAGCAATTTTATACCCACAGAATTGATATTTTTGCAGCTTTTTCCATCGTGAACTAAGCAGTCCCGTGGCATATACACGGGACTAGAGTGTACATAATAGGTTGCATTAATATTCCAGAACACGTTTCGGTTGTGATATATTATCAGCTTTGCACTCCCCTAAAACAATGACGCGGGGCATCATGGGAAGAGAACGATAATATTTCGAAGGATCCTACCCACGCAAATTCGTGGTGCATTGTAGGTCGTGCCGTCCCAAAAAGTAATGTCCCGTGTCTCTTAAAAGATTGTAGCAGAAGTCGTATAGTTTTATGTACCGGGTGTTCTAATTTCAATGCTAAATTTTGTTAAATAGTCTTTGCTGCATTAGTTTCCTGGCTTAAATAGAATACCCGTTAAACACGTGCGTATTACAATCTGACAGAGTAATTTAGCATTGCTGAGTCAGATATCACCGTGATAATCAAGATGAAGTTTCATTTTGAAGAACAAGTGGATATAATCTTCATTTATGGAGAAACTCGTCAAAAATTCAATGAAAGCCGAAGTCTTGTACGCTGAACAGTATCCGAATCGTACACATCATTTGCACCGAATATTTCAGTGATTATGCAAAAAATTAAGAGAAACCGGAAGTTTGGCTACACTTAAGTCTAATCATCGAAAATGGACAACCGATGAAACAAGCGAAATTGATGTTCCTGCGATGGTAGCTCGTAATCCACAGATTAGTTCCCGACAAATTAAACGCGAGTCTGCTATCAGCAGGAGGAGCGTGTTACGAATCCTTGTACGGTATAAATTTCATCCGCACCACATTAGTCTCCACCAAGATTTACACGGTAAGAATTTAACGAATTATGTGGCATTTTGTCAATGGGCTCAATATGAAATACAAATGAACGGAACATTTTCTTCTTCAATATTGTTTACCGATAAAAATTTACCAATCATGGAAATCTAAACCTGCATAATATACACTACTGGTCTGTTGAGCATCCACGACAGTGGGAATTAATGTACGATGCGGAATCGTTCGTGACCAAATAATTGAACCGTATTTTATCGATGGCACTCTTACTGGCGGAAAATGTGAATGTTTTATAAGAAATGCATTGACAACTTTATTAGAAAATGTACCACTGAACGTTCACCAAACAATGTGTAATTATGCTCGCAGAGCAAGAAATGAACTTTACCCAAATCGATAGATAGCACGTGTAGGATCAGTTTCGAAGGTAAATAGTTCGTTCTGCAGACTTAACATTGGATTTCTTTCTCTGGCGAGCACTCAAAAGTGTCGTCTATCAAGAAATACCGATTACAGCGGGAAATATGAGACAACGGATTACTACAGCATGTGCTGGAATAAGTTCAGAGGCGACAAGACGTGCAGGTGATTCGACGATATAAAGATTGCAACTTTGTTAGTTTACCACCATATTTGACCTTGCAGAACCTTTTATGATAACATGCTGAAATCGTCACAACAACGGCTATCACATAGCAATAAAAAAAATGTAAAATCCCATTAAAAGAAAATAAAGATGACCTTGAAATTTTCTCTACACCTCCATCCACGTGAAAAGTATTTACGTCACATTATGCTCCCTTCCATATCACGCAAGTTTTGCCTATGACATTTTTTCGTATTATTATAAATAACGGAAATATTCGAGGTAGATAACACGATATTTCATTTTGTCATCGATATATGAATTTCTGTGCATTAAATGTAACAACTGAAAAATTAATGTTGATAGTAGGTATCATAAGTACGTACTTCTAGTTTAACGTTAAAGCGATGCGGACCTAGTCTAACATTAAATAAAGGAAAATAAAGCGTTCAGTGGAAAGTATAGAGTCGAAGCCAACAATGACACCGTCTGTGCCACTTTCTTCTCACGTGGGACGAGAAAAATGCCCCGAGGCCACCCTTTAATCTGGTCGTTTCGATATCGTCGCGGTGCATGGAGAAATAATGCCCCCAGAATGGCGTGGCGTGAATCAATTCATTCCTGAACTTAAACATACGCACGATCACCATGCGTCCGGGGAATCTAATCTGGATGCTGGCTCTTAGTCGTGACTTAAGGGGTTGTTATGTTGATACCAGAGGGTAGATTAGCAAAAGTAACGCGCATTGTTGTTGGAAAATTGCTTTATCACGCATGAACCTTTATGTACGTTGCGCTGTATCGTACCGTTATGAGAGATATACCATCTAACTAATTTGTTCTCCTAACATTGTAACTCACGTTAAAGTCACATCTGCGTGCTACGTACAGTGATTAGAACGAATGTCCATGTATAATTGCTTACAGGGGTTCCGAGGAGAGGTGACGAATGACAAATTGAATAAAAAAGTTTTAAAGAAATCACGAAATTGTGAATCCGATAAGTATGAAAGTGTCTAAACAATAAGTAGTATATTTGTTCTATGTTATCGCTCAAAAACAAAAAGTACTAAGAAACAAATTTTAACTATTGTTTAAAGTGATTCTGTATTGTATATATACTATAATATACAATTACTCCCAGAAATATTCGGACACTAACAAAACAACCATTAAACACAGCACAGGCAAAAATATTCGTAATATTTAAAATATTATGAACGATTAATATGAACATTATACTATGAATATTCAAAATGTGAATTTTTACCGTGTATCCGAGTATTCCTGTAACATAGTAATTGGACATAATTTCGGTTCATTTGTGTTACAATGAAAATGCATTAAATTAATAATACGTAATCCCAAAGTGCAGTAAATGACGTTTCATAGTGAAAAAGCATCAATCTAATCCTTTTATAATTAATCGAAATACATCACTATATAGATAGGCAAGCTTATACGTATAGTGTCCGTATATTTTTGGGAGTGACTGTAGATCAATGTGATACAAAATGAAAGATAAATTTAATTGTTATAAATCTTTCATTTATGCCACATCAATAATCATTGGCACAACTTTAGTTCGAAAAGGTATCCCATGAAGTGTATTACAGTTCTATTATTTATAAACTTTAGTTACTATTTAACAATTTTGTCTGATAGTTTTCCATTTATTTCTATAGAGAGAAGTAGCAGTGTAAGATAATAATTTAATAATTATCCGTCTTTCTTGGAAGCATATTAGTATCAATAAGTGAAATAGAATTCTAACTTTAATATACTTTTTAGAAAATAATATAGACATAACTGTTATCCATATGCTGCTCACTACAACCATTTGATCTAAAACAAAATTAAGAAAATGTTTAGCTTTTTATGTAAAAGTTTTTAGTAAGATTTTTTGGAAATTTGTATATTTAATATATGTACTTAATTGTATTTTTAAGCCACAAGTATTTCAATTTTCATATCTGTACTATAATATATGAAGTATTAACAAAAATGGAAGATAGCTAATTTATGGAAAGTCTTTTTGGAAATCTTTCAAACATCCAGATCTAATTAGGTTGTGGTAAAGATAAAATTAAAACGACCCTATTAGATCCATCGAGTTCATAAGTTAAGCCTGCATAAGAAGGATTGATTTTGATGGTGATCCTATGAGTCCTGTCCATGTGATTAAGCATTTTCTTGATCGGAGATAGTTAGCGAAGGGATTTAAAAGAAGAACACTGTAACGAGTGGACAGGTCAATAATCACGCATTAAGAATTAACATCTATTAGCATTATCTTTTAAGTTCAGAAAATGAAAAAAGTGTGTAATACAAAAATCAATTAGATTTATCAGTGGTCAAACGTACGTGCATTTGCGATTACACTTTGTTTAATAACTTACACTAGATTCATTTTAAACCAATTAATATTTATGAAAAATCGTGACAAATAAAATGATTTATTTATTTCCGCCTTTTAACGAAGAGATTTGTTATTTCGAAACAACCGATCAACAACCTTGTAGAACCAAAAGGATTTGAAGCAATAAGGAAACGTTCAAATAGTAATACTGATTAGGGGTAGACCCGAAACTCGACAAAGATGCCATAATCTTTGGTAGTTCTCGAAAATCCAATTACGAAGCGAAGCATGACGGTCTTTCTGCTGTGATAGAAATTCCACGTGATGAAAAACTGTAGCGATCTCGGAACGATTCAGTGATTTGTCATGGACGTGCAGGGGTGGAAGTCTGGGACAAGTAAGGCAATTCAGAAATTAGACACGCCGTTGCCAGGGGTACGTTGGGAATGGGGAAAGCAACACTACGAAAAATCCTTCAATCGTGTTCCCACGATGTGATTTCGTCTCGCTGCATACAAAGAGCTATAAATAATGGCATTTGTATGGGTAATTTTTGCCGGAATTTAAAGGGGGTAGCGGACAGTGCCTTTCTCTTCACGAGATATTAATTTATCGATTACATCGTGACGCCTTACTCCTGATCACAGACACTTTTCTCACAAAATGTGCCAAATAATCGGATAATTTTGTGTGGAATACAAATTTAACACTAGGTTTACGGGACGGGTCATTTTGACGCATTTCGAATTTCACAAGGACAACTACAGAAACCGTTTACATTTCTTTCCCACCATTTGTGCTTATTATAAATTTGATATAAATATATAATATCACATAGTTTCATTTATAAGTTAATAGTGTATAATATGTTGTTTTTAAATGAAATAAGTTATTTTTTAAAGAAAATCTGCGGTCTTGTTCACGCGTCAATTTGACGCGTATCCGAGGCAAATTATTTACTTCAGAAATTAAAAGTTAGGTGGTAGATTTCGATCTTATATCTACCATATTGTGTATATATTATACAGATACATCTTTGAATGAATGGTTTAAACAATCTGTATTACGATAAAGCTGTTTATATAAACAGAGGGACAGCATAAGTAATCAGTTGCATAGGTCCGTATCTGGTACTGACGTGCTCGATGTATAAAAAGATTCATACGAGATATGGAGGCGGAAATTTCAACGTTCGTTTACGCTTCACATGTAACCTTAACTCCAAATTGTGCAACTGATATGATAGCAAAGATCAATGATGTCTTTTCTAAGAAAGGGATGAATGTATATATTTGTCAAATATTCACTTCTCGAACAAATATACATATGGTCTAATTATTTTTCAGTCGTGAATACTACACCACCCCATAAGAAACTGACTCGATTTTCCCCAATACATTCTGGATTTTTTTTAGTCCACATTCTGGAATTTTGATGGCAAACTAATCCATTCGTGTAAAAAATACATTCTTCCGTAATCATTACCATTTTCTTCGATACCCACAAAGCAAATTCAATACGGGGTTCAAAATCTCGCGGAAAAATATTGTTTAAAGTGATCAGTTTGAAGGCTTTAAGTTGATATTTCTTAATGTTTTATGTACAGTGCTCCTCGAGATACCACAATTATCTGCCAATGTTCGGATGGACACCCTATAATAATTAAAAACTGCAGCCAATAGATTTATTTCATTGTCACTCGCCACAGTAAAAGATCGTCGTTTTTGTTTTGTGACACTTCCAGTACTTTGTTCGTGTCCAGTTAAAAAAGACACCTTGTACACATTCTGTATTATCTTTTCCATCGTGTTGAAATATTTAAGGTTAAAACTTTAACTATACAAATCGTAAATTTTCGGAAAAAGAGTTACTTACATCCATGTTCCTGGTACCGTTAATGCCGCGTCAATGAGTAGTAATCGTAGAATAATGAGCAAGCTGCTGCAAACTGCCATTTTGCCTGAAACGTAATTTCGACATAAGCGTTAACTAAAATTAAATTGTTTCATTCTCCTTATGTAATATTTATTTTTATAGGATAAATAAAGATTGTGTAAACACAGAAATATTCAAAATTTGAATAAATTTGAGTAATGTAATAATTATTGCTAACAAATAAAGCTACGATAATATGTGTTGTATAATGAACAATACATCTTGTATTATTTTCAAGTTTTTCTTGCACAAAGCTATTACATTTACATGTAGGTATTAATATTATAAGTTACGAAATTGTTATATCGTGTGGCTGTGATAATTTCTGTGTATACGTATAAAAATAAAATTTGTATGGTACGAATAGAAAAAATTTACTATTCATACAAATAAATTCACTATTTATATAATGAACTACTTTTCATATGAATAAATTTAATCTTTATAATTTCAATTTATGTTATACGGTTATATTTTTTTGTAATTTATTATGTTCATTTGCATGAACTTAATCTAAAGAATGTAAAAAACGCTTTATACTCTTATTAAAATAATATTTAATAATATTATGAACGACATTTAAAATTGTTGGTGTTTAACTTATTAATCATTGTTGATAAATTTAAACTCACAAACTATTAGTAGAAAAGTACGAAATGAACTTTTGAAAATAATTAAAAATATACTTTAATTTACGCCTCTTTTATTCAATCTAGATAACAGATGTGCTGAAGGTATGTTTAAGAAAAAGAATTTACATTTCGTTAAGAGCAAAATTCACATTATTTGTCGAGTTTTCATCTAAAATAGATCGATAAGGTGCAATTGTTAAAAAAAGTGAAGTTTTATTAAAATTCAGGCCTTCTTAAAAACTCTTTCGTTTGAAGCATAAGTAATTTTAATGAAATCTTTATTCTCGAAAATTACACAATTCTTTCAAAAGTTTTCACAAGGAAAATTCATGTGATAACAAAAAGCGCCTCACCCGGTATACAAAGTTAGTACGTGTGCTCACGTACTAGTACATATGTATAGTATACCAGTTCTGTGGGCTGCAAGCAGCACACCGTAGAGTAGATTCAGCTTGGAACGAAAGGCACCTAAGTCCAGACGATTATGGTATATCGATTCGACATTACACCTTGCTCACTCCTGAAGCGACTCTCAAGAGTCCTCCGTTCTTGCTCCGACTTCGAGCTCGAGCTGCGCGACTGGTTAGTAGAAACTACGGGGACTTGAATTACGACTCCTAAACTCTATAACTATTCATTTTGCACTGTTACGCTACGGTGACACGAGAACTATACACGCTGATGAATAAAATCCAGCGACAATCTTGTATTTATGCTTTAAGAATTTATTCTGCTTTTGATTGTGCCACTAGGCTGATCTATCAGATAAAAGTTTTCAGCGTTAATGGATAGTAACAAAGTGTAATTAGAGGAAAAATAACGATCTTCTTATATACTAAATACTTATATACAGATCAAAATATATCTATAATCTGTAAAGTAAAATCGTCTCTGTAATTATTCTTACTCTCGTATTTAATAATCTCGCGAATCTCTTGTACGTTTGTTTTTTTGACGATATCCTTAAGTTCTTTAAAGTACTTTCAAATACAAAATATAAACGGTATTTAATGAAAAATGTATACCAAAGATACAAAATGACTGTTCAATCTAAACATCATGCTATGTTACATTATGCACATATTTTATAATGTTCATAATTTTTCACTATTTTCTACGTACCTAAAATCTGTGTTAATAATTTTAAAATGGTCTGGTAAGTAGAATAAGTTAAGTTTAAACCAATTATACATTCGGTGTAACTATTCATCTTCGTACTTTTCTCACTGACTTTGTGCAATACAATGCAATGTTATGCAATGCAATATAATATAATAGCATTTTAAATTAAAGTGCAATTTTTATTTCTAAATCATTCTTCCGATTTAAAGTTCAGGAAAGAATCTAAGTTTAGAACAGTCATATTTTCCATTTATGACATGCACCTATTAATTTTTTTCACATTATTTCATGAATACCGCGTACGTACTTTTAATAACTTAAAAAAAATTTATGTAAAATATTTAAAAGTTAATATCGAAATTTGTGCATCAGTCATTTAAAAATAAACAATTATACTCTCAGTTTAGAATGCTATTACACACATCTAGAGGCTCCGTAATTAATGACAGGTTCGTATTCGCAGGCAAACGCTTATGGGTAATCCGATCACGGATTAAAAAGTTCCGCTACCGGTTTTAAAAGTGGTAAAGTAGACGCGTTGTTCATTAAAAAATGTTGAGTTGTTAAATCAGAAAACTTCGGCCGATAATGACCAAATATAATAGGCATCGATTCTTGCATTACACCTTGCTCGATCGTGAAGTATGGCTATTACTTTAAGAGTTGCCTGTCGCGATTAAATAGTTAATATATGCTACTGAGCCGAAGTAAATTTTGTATCTTTTAATCCTGGCTTGTTATAATTCTCACCAAACGATCATGAAACAAATTAAACACGCTCGCAAACGAGAGCTGTTTAAGAGGACGTGGTATGTCATTAATTATGAAATAATGTTAACAAATTACCTCAAGTGTACATTATTTTGAATATATTTATTATGAAATTTTTGGCCTTTATTATTATTTAGATTATTTATGTACTATATAAATTTTGGACTTCTCGTTATGTTGTTTTAGGACAGATTGACGAGCCTTTATAATTACGGAAAATAGTATTTTAATAAAGTGAAATATTCGTTTATACCTTAAAAAATGGTGAAATCATTTGCAGAAATGGTAATTTCCATGGTTGCAAGTTATTGCAAGAATAATTAAGAAGATACATCAATATACGAAGGATTATATGTAGGTAAAGAAATGGTTTAGTAGAACGCATTAAATGAGTATCGTATTCTAAATACTCTAATAGAGAGTCTAAAATATGGTGTATTACGGTAAAAGTCCAGAGATGTTCTAACGACAAAATTCAAATTCAACCACAGTAGAATAAAAACCTTCCTTTAATCTTCGTCTATGTACTTTTCTACAGAGATCCAAACTTTAAATGAATACGTTTCAAGGAAGTAAGATACGCTTAAAGTATAACAAAGTGCGGTATGAACGGAGAACGGATGACAAAATCGCGAAAAGGTGATTTAACGTGTAAAAATAAATAAAAAAATGTAGAGTACATTTTCGTACAAGACTTCTATAGGTTTTAGAGAAAATTTAATTCAAAGATTTCACCGAATCTCATTGAAAATATTAGTATTTGTAAATATTATATCGATAAATATTGACATATACTTGAGATGTTTATTTGCTGAGGACATATTAAAGGAATATTACGCGTAGTAGAAATGCTAATTTTTCTGTAGCTGTAGTAGGAAATCTGTACTTTACACGTTTCTCAGATGTTTGTTGCAAGAAAACTTTTAATTTGGATTCAACTTAGGTTCATTCGGTAACGTAAATATGAGTTAATTGAAATTAACTGAACCATTAATAGATAGGTATTGCCAGTACTTATAACTTCGACCGTATTTACTTAGTGCAATCACTGATAGTAAGTCGAAAATTAGTCGAACGCACGTGTATTCGGAAAATGTCATCTTCTCGAAAGATAAAAATTCGAACAAAAAATTTCACTTTATATTTTCAGTTCATTGTTACACGTAGAATTACTTGTTTAATCTTTTGCAATTCTTTTAAATGTTTTGTAAAATTATTTTATGCAGTATAGTAGTCTATTTTCAGAGATTTCGAAATATCTTTGAGGGTTGCTGCTTACCTGTTTATTAACGATAACAGAGAAACTATGTTGCAGATTTGCAACACAACTGACTTCAGTTTTCTGAGCACTAATTTATATCTGTTAATTATAATAAACATTATATGTGATGAATTCTAACTAGAACCTAATCTTTTTCTAAATAAGGTGTGTATATACAACGAGTTTAGTGATTTTGAAAACATATAGCTTGTACATATAGCTTGTCAACGCGGCAAGTTTACCAATATTCGCTATAATTGAATCAATTTTTCATGAAGGAAACGATAAGATTTCTAAATTCATAAATCTGCAAATGTAATTATGTATTTGAAAATATATATAATTTTACTTCTTCCCAAACATTCTTCTCATTTGATCAAATTTTAATGCTGCACTTGTGAATTTGTAGAATTTATCGATACTTCAACTGTATCGTAATCTGATAAAAAGAACAGTGAAATACAGAAATAAATAATAAATCATTTAGATTACATTATTATGCTTATTTGGGATGATTATTTAAGAAAATAATTTCACGCCCCTCTAAATCAGTTAGATTGTATTAGACTTTTTTATAATATAAAATAATAAATACTTCTTTCTACTGACCACGAATTTTACACATAGCACTGCTATGTAGACAACACAACAAACAGAATTCAACAGAGTCCTAAAAAAAATGACTACAGGAAATAATACAGCGTCAGAAATTATTTACAATACTATTTCGAAAGTTTGTTCGAATATTGATCGTAAATAGTATCAACAGACACGTATCTTTCAAAATAATAAACAGCCACATAATTATATCAATTTACTAGGTTTTCGGTTAAATAAACTGAATTAGCTATCGATAAATCCGTTATTTTGAAGTAATGAAGATTTCAGTTAGCATTCAGCATTCAATGCATTGCGTAATATAAAGAAGCATTACGTAATATGAAAAAAGGCAAAACGATTTTGCACTTGCACGATAATGCACAATATACACTTTAGGCTCATGTTAACGAGCTCTATGGTTAAAAATTCCTAGTATACTTGTGAAGCACCCTGTATATCCCCGTCTATCTAACCCACGCGATCGGGCAGAATATTAGCCGGTGTATAAAATGCATTTGTGATCACGGCAGGAATGTAAATGGCGTACTTCAGCACGTCTCTTGCGGGGCCGGCCTCGAATTATCAGCAATAAAATATCTCGCTGGCGTGTTGAACAAGACATGACCGGCGGTAGTGCAA